GGCAGCAATATTGAATACCGTTAATGTACATACTGTCTGAGTAGGTTTTGGGATAGTTGTTTGTGAGGGCGGCAATTTTGAATATCGTTAATGTATTGTATATACTGTCTGAGTAGGTTTAAGGTAGTTTTTGGTAAAGCGACAATATTGAATACTGTTAATGTACATACTGTCTACACAGAAATACTGTCTCAGTAGTTTTTGGGGTAGTTTTTTGTAGGGGCTGCAATATTGAATATCGTTAATGTACATACTATCTGAGTAGGTTTGTAGTAGTTTTTGGTGGGAGCGGAAATATTGATATCGTTAATGTATTGTACATACTGTCTGACTAGGTTTGATGTGGTTTTTGGTATGGGCGGCAATTTTGAATATCGTTAGTGTACATACTGTCTACACAGAAATACTATTAATGTAAAAATTAATACTGATGTTCCTCCACGGAAAAAAGGTTGGAAATGACGTACTCACAGGATCGGTGCAAAAAACCACTTTATTAACCATTTCAGTTTCCTCTCCTTTGGAGAGGAGGGGGAGGGGACGTTAAGGGCGAAGATGACCACCATTGTAATCGTCAATTGAAGGGCTATCTATGATAAAAAAAATCAGCTCAATCGAAGGGTACCTAATTTTTTTAAACTCAACCCGATTTTCATATCTAATGAATTAATAATCCCATCGGGAAAATTGATAAAAACAATTTAATTTTGATTGACATATAATGAAGATAATAAAATTCTGTTCTTCTTAGGGAGGCGTTTTCTGACAAATTTGAAAATCACTTCTTGAACATGTTCCGTTATTCTCGTCTTCGAACATCTAATTATCAATTATTACTTATACTACAGGGCAAGGTACTTTCGCCAACCGAATGGAAAACCTTTGTTATCACGTGGAACGAAACCACGAAGGAGTTATCAGTTTATGATACTGAAAAACTGTTATTAACGTATGTAGACCGCGAGGAACGATCACTGAACACGCCTGCCAATTACACGATGTTCATACGGAGTCCTGTTACGATGCTATTTCGATTTCATATATGTGAGTCGTACTCGCGTGAAAACTTGGAATTGATCAACGAAAATACAGCTACATAAAATGTGATTTGTATGACAGAGTGAGTCGGTTTCAGACGACTTCTTGCACACAACCGATTCGAAGGCAGCTCTCACGAGTCCTCCGATGTCTCTGTTCACCAAAAACCTTTGCATAGAATTGATAATCGGCCTGTGCACGGAATGCGAGATGGAAATAGTATTGTTAAATCCTTCGAATGAAAACATCGAAGACAGTTTAAAAGTGATAGGAGGATCCAAAATGGCCGCTGCTCACGGATTGGCTATGTGGCAGTACGTTCGGATCAATAAAACGATTTCGACCGACTTTGGACAGAGGGTGAAGATAAAATTAATACCGAAACTTCAGCGGAAAAGCTCCAATCCACTATGGGTTGTTGCAAACTTTCGCGTATGTCCATCAGCAGGTGTGTCTCTATAAAATTAATTACATAAAATTTCAGTGAAGTGCAATAAAAATCTTACATTTTTACATACTTGCATTTCAAATCGATTACTTTTAAGCTCGATACCATGGAGTTTGTTCAAATTAATATACAGTACTGTGCAAAAGTCTTAGGCTAGTTACTGTATTCCACATCTGTTACATTTTTACAGCTAAAGAAAGAGCACAAGTTTTGGTTTAGCTTACGTATTTAGTGTACCATTATTATTCCGTAGTGTACTTTCCGAAATTAGATAGAAATAGTATAAATCCAAAGGATAATTTAATATTTATTACCTCTTTCACCTTCGTGACAGCGTCAACTCTTGAACGACATTAATATGTTTATAATCATAACTCCGCGAAAAATGATCGTATGAGATAAACTTTTTTTTTTATTTTAAAGCTTGAAGTCTCTATTTCGAACGGAATTTGTCATATTTGGATTTCCTCCTTCACCCTTCCCGCCATTTTTTTTTTTAAACGAGGTGATGTTTCTTTTTTTTTAAAGTTTGCGCACTTTGACGCGCTTCATGGGGTGCAATAAATTTTCCTTGCAAAGTGTGTAAGCCGCAGAGTGTAAACTTTTCTCCACAAATTAAAAAAAAAAGTGGTCTACGATTATTTTTGACGGAATTATGAATGTCACAAGTTACCCATGCGTTTTACTCACTTTATGCATGGGTAACTTGTGACATTCGTAACTCCGTCAAAAAAAATCGTAGAGACTTCACTTTTTTTTTAGTTTGTGGAGAAAAGTTTATACTCTACGGCAATTTTTGTAAAATTTGCGAGAAAAATTCATTGCACTTATTGGAGCGCGTCAAAGTGCGCAAACTTTTTAAGGAGAAACATCACCTCATTTGAAAAAAGATCGCGGGAAGGAGAAAGGAGGAAATCAAAATATGACAAATTCCGTTCAAAGTAGAGACTTCAAGCTTTAAAATAAAAAAAAAGTTAATTCCATACGGTCATTTTTCGTGGAGTTATGATTATTTAAATTTTAGTGAAATTCTAATAAGAATTTTTCTTGCGCTAATTTTGTTATTCAGTGTAGATTAAAAAATGTGGACTTTCAAACTATAATTTCATTTTTCTGCGCCGATAATGCGTTGTATCGTTCAGTCACTGTATTTGCAAAGTCGCTTTCGAAATATGAGGATGTTAAATATATTTCTGTATCGAAGAATAGTCTTCTGAAAGACGAAGAAACGTGACAATTCCCTGAATCCATATCACTCGATTATTTAATCGAAGCGTACCACTTTAGAAAACAGCAAAATGATGACATAAGCCTTCACACATTATCGCATACTTGAATTTGACCACAATCCTTGACATCCAATCTCGAACGATCTATTTAGCGTGGATTGACTCGTACGGATTGCCCTATGATTACTACAATCAAATCTTCTTCGTTAGATTCTGTACGACAAGCCATTATGACAGCTACGCAAGATTACAATCGTGACTATTACTGGCCAGTAGTCACGTGCCAAAAGCTCTTTTACGACGAACTGATCGTCGTAAATTCCGTGCCCGACGCCATTTTGAATTTAGAATTCGGTAATGCCTTATAAAATATCCTTCTCTAGCAAACGTTCTTCCGACATTATTTACGCGATCTTCGTGTATCCTTCCCACAGACGACTTGTATTGTCCCGAGGGAAAGGAGGGACTTCACTGTTCGATAAGCTGCTATAGTGACTTGGAAAGCCGTACAGACTGCGGGGGTACTGCGATTTGTGAAAGAACGGGCTGCACCTGTCCACCAGGTTTCATTGGAGAGAATTGTGATTACAGTAAACATCGTACACGTTTATAGAAAAAATGAAAAATGATGCGAAACCACAATATTTGTTAACAAGTTCTATTTACAGAGTGTGCTATTAATCGATATGGCCACGACTGCAAGGGAACTTGTGGCCAGTGCAAGGGAGACATATGTAACTTCAAATCAGGAACATGCACATATGGCTGTGACAATTCTAAAAGATACTATATACCACCGGTTTGTAAAAGAGGTAGGGGATCGATACGCGTGATAAGAATAATTTGATGTACTATAGAGGGTGTGTCAAAAATGTTAAAGGTCCTTGAAAGGGGTGGTTCGGAGGGTGATTTGAAGCAACTCTTTCTTTAGCGAAAATGTTGTGTGACGCTTCGTTAAGGAGATATTAACAGAAAATCCCGACTAATCGGAGCGCGAGGATGCTAGTGGACCGCCCATAGTAGGCGTAGTCTAGGCGCTAGGTGGCCGCCCTTCACCGGCATTCTCGCGCTCTGATTGGTCAAGGTTTCCTGTTAATATCTCCTTAACGAAGCCTCGGACACCATTTTCTTTAAGGAAAAAGTTGTTTCAAATCCCCTCTACTCTGTATATACAGGGTGTCCCAAAAATGTTGTAACACCTTGAAAGGGGGTGGTTCGGAGGGTGATTTGAAGCAACTTTTTCCTTAGCGAAAATGTTGTGTGACGCTTCGTTAAGGAGATATAAACAGAAAATCCCGACCAATCAGAGCGCGAGGATGCTATTGGACTGCCCAAAGTAGGCGTAGTCTAGGCGCTAGGTGGCCCCCCTCCACCGGCATCCTCGCGCTCTGATTGGTCGAGGTTTCCTGTTAATATCTCCTTAACGAAGCCTCGGACAACATTTTCGCTAAGGAAAAAATTGTTTTAAATCACCCCCCGAATCACCTCCTTCAAGGACCTCCAACACTTTTGGGACATCTTGTATATTTTGCATACAGCACATTTTTTTTTAAAGTCATAGATCCACTTCCTCCTCCGAACATCGACTTTATCAACGAGACAACCGTTCGCGCTGTTCTTCCAGCTAGAGAGGAATACACATTAGTATCTTCCAGTTATCGATTTGTAATACGGGTAAATACAACATAGCGAATATTGTACATCTTTTTTGTACATCTTTTTTGTACATCTTATACCTATGTATACTTCCGTTAGAAAAATATGAACGACTCTGACACCGATGTTCGTCGCATCCGAGACAACGTGAAGATATTTAAGAACACGACAACATTAATTGGGTACACCGATGACTTAGAACCTGGCACTACTTATAAGATTTTCTGCGATCTGCACATCACCGATGATTCGCATATTATACACGGACAATTAGCCACCTTTACAACACGCTGCACTCGTGAGTTATGCTAAATTAAGAAAGCAGACCACTGTAACATTTTCTCGCAAATTGATTTTCTTTTGTTCTCATCTTTCGAACGGTATGCATTAGAAGAATTTTGTGTGAAAATTTGAAAACGAAATCTGTATAATTGCTAGAGTTACAGAGTTGAGGGCTACTGAAGCTTCGAGTGGGTTCATCTTTAAACAACACTTTTCAAGTGATTCTACAACTGATTTAAGTCACATTCTCTTTAGAAAATTTGTTGTTGGGTCTAGTCGTAGCCGTGTAGATAGTATATGGATTAACAATTTTATCACAATCGCCATTACAAGGTGGGAATTATATTTAACAGTATTTGATGTCCCTACTCCCATCAACAACTATTCCAAACCTACTCAGACAGTATTTCAATGTAGACAGTATATATATGCATTAACAATTTTATCACATTCCCCATTACGAGATGGGAACCATTTGTATTTAACAGTATTCAATATTCCCACTGCCACTAACAACTACACCAAACCTCCTCAGACAGTATTTCAGTGTAGACAGTATATGCATTAACAATTTTATCACAATTCCCATTATGAGATGAGAATTATATTTAACAGCATTCGATATTCCCACTCTCACCAACAACTGACCTTAAACCTTAAACCTCCTCAGACAGTATTTCAATGTTGACAGTATATATATGCATTAACAATTTTATCACATTTTTCATTATGAGATGGGAATTATATTTAAAAGTATTCAATATTCCCACCATCACCAAGATATTCCTACCCCAAACCTACTCAGACAGTAGTTCCGTATAGACAGTATATGCATTAACAATTTTATCACAATTCCCATTATGAGATGTGAATTATATTTAACAGCATTCAATATTCCCACTCCCATCAACAACTACCACAAACCTACTCAGAGTATTTTCGTGTAGACAGTATATGCATTATCAATATTCAATATTGTCGTCCCCACCTAATCTCCTTTCCATTTCCCATAGTATCTAGTTTAAGAAAATTGTTGGTTTTTTTATCTCATATATCCAGTGGTTCCCAACTTGTCAATTGATCGTCTATGATTTTATCTTTTTTTTTGCTGAACTCATTTACATAATGTAAAATGCCCACTTTTAACTATCCGTAACTTCTCAACCAGTGGATTCCTCGCCTTAAAACTACCATTTTCAAATTTTTCACGACAAAATCTACAGAATTATGTAAAAAACAGAAATTATAGTTGCGCCAAAGTAAAGTGCAACATGAGTGCATTTATAGTAGCCTGCACTCTGAAGTAACTCTCCCATAAATATCATCATAATAACACAATGTAAAATACGAAATTTTATAGCGTACACGAACTTTGAAGTAGTCCGAGGAAACATAAGTTTGACACTGAAAAAGGGTCGGCAAGTAGTACGTAAAAGATCGCATGTTCACACACTATTTTCACGATTAAAAACGGTAAAAAGATATCGATTTCCAGGACCCTTTGTACACTTGTCCAGACCATTGGTACGGTCTCGTTTTCGAGAACTGCGAAACGAACGTTCAAATTAAAAACGGAACTGTGAACAAACTGCCGCACCAATTTATGGACTTGACGCCGTATACTCGTTACAAAATTACAGTCTACAAAGGAGCAGCGATTCTCTTTTCACAGGAGGTTCGAACTCTCGACGCAGGTGATTACACACAAATTTATTCGAAACAATTTAGATTCGTTGATTTTTTAGAAGAATCCATCTATCTTTATATGCTAATAACTTTTTAATAAAAAAATGTCCGACGGCTAAAACCTCTTGGGTGTTACTCAGGAGGGTGCCCTTGACAGTATATGTCAAGGTCATCGGAGCTGCCTCCCCTAAACGTAAGGTTTACCGAATCCAAATAAGTTTTCTTATACGTTTCTGAAACTGATCTGAAAAGAACAAGTATAATAATTCTTTTGAATTGTCTGTATTGGAAATTAATACGAAAAAGATTTATTTGTTCGTGCTAAAAGCGCCTTCTAGTGTAAGGAACATTAAGACGACACTGCTTTCGAATAAGAAAGTAACGATAAATTGGGATCTTCCTCAACATTTAAACGGAATCATTAAGAATTACACAATCGTATTAAAGGTAACGAATTGTTTTTGAAACTAATCACTAATCAATTCCCGTATAAAAATATATTAATCTAATTTCAAGGTCCTAATGTATTTCGGCTGCTCCGACTTAAACAGGGATTCTCCGAAGAAGGAGATCACAACTACTAGTACTTCCACCGATATTACATTTCCAGATTTAAACCCCTACGCAAAGTATGTTGCTGCAATTTCAGCCTGTACTTCTTATTGCGGACCTGTCCAAAAAACAGTATTCGACACCGATCAGAGTGGTAAACCATGATGAAACATTTCTCACCTGGGTAAATATTTTAATTGTGATGAAAACAATCGATTTATGCCCCTTTCAGAAATACCAACCGCAGTGTACAGCGATTTAACGACGGAAGCTTATATGTTAACGTGGAAGCCACCGGAAAATTGCACCACGATTTCTGGACCTCTGTGCACGCGAATTATTATCACCGGAATTAGCAAATCCGTGGTGGGTGTAAATATTACGAAACAAACCAAGCAATTCAACATTGATTTAAAAAATATCCTTAACGGTACAGAAACGTACGAAGCACGAATTTATGTGATTCGAGACTACGGTAAAAGGCACAACGATTTGCTTTATCAGAAAATTATTTTCACCATGCCACCGAAAGGTTAGGACAATTGCATAATATTATCTATTTATGTTAATCATTTCTGTGACTGACTCAAGTCGTCACTCAATTTTCTACACAGATTAATGAAAATATACAGGGTATCCCAGAATTAGTGTAAGAATCAGAAATGGGGGTAGCTGAGACGATTGTGAACGAAAAGTTCCTTTGCAAAAATGTCGAATGTTCTTTCGTTTTTGAATTATTAACGAAAAACCACGGACCAATCACAGCGCTCGAGTAACGCGCGCTCAGCCGCGAGAGCATAGGCACGAGCCAGGATTGGCTGAGGCCAGTCATCGGGCCAACCTCTGGCGGCTAAGCGCGCGCTACTCAAGCGCTGTGATTGGTCAGTGGTTTATCGTTAATAATTCAAAAACGAAGCGCCATGCGACATTTTTGCAAAGGAAATTGTGGTTCGGAAACGTCTCAGCTACCTCCATTTCTGATTCTTACATTAATTCTGGGACACCCTGTATAAAATTTTAATATAGAAATAGAACAAGAATAGGTATTGTGTGTTTTGATAAGTTATCACCAAAATATTTTTAAAATAACGGATTCCAGAAAACAATGCTTCTGATAAATGACGGTTTCCCTCTTGAAAACATTTTTTTCTGCAATGAGTTATTTAAAAAATATACAGGTGATATCTTTTCAAATAGACGCACAATGCAATAATCAAGTAGAGTCGTTAATGGTGTCATTAGGGACAATGTAACAAAAGATTTTTCTGGTTCAAAATAATAATATGAATATTAGTTAAAATATGCGTCTCTAACAGTTTAAAGTTGTTAGTACTATACAGGGTGACCAGATGAAGAAGTCCATCTAATTATCTCCTTTGATTTTGCAATGTAAAAATTATTTACGCCACTGTTTCATTTATTATGAAGAAAGAATATCGTAGAAGACAGATTTTATTTACCATATTTTTTGCGAGATTATTTTTCGTAGAGACTCCCGCAATATCTTCAAATGAACACCCTTGTATAATCCGCCCTTGACTGCGCAATCTTTATCGAAGAAAAAAGAATTCAATTAATTAACCAAGATTTATTTGCGACAGCTCCGCCTCCGGTAAGGAATCTAGAAATTTACGAAACCGACTTGCGAGCAAAAATTGCCTATTTGAGATGGCAGAAACCGGAAGCACCAATCCACGGAGAAATAAAACATTACATCGTGAGCAGTTGTTACCTCAAACAATGCAATACGTTACTGAAGGTACAGCCAACGACGCACTGCAACTTGTGGGACGATTACGTTTGCGCTGCTGTCAAGGAAATCGATTACGTGCAAGGGCTGATCGAGGTAAACTCAAATACCGAGCCATTTTCATTTGGAATCGAATATTTTTTGGAGTAACATATTGGGTTTAAAGAGGATTTTGGGATACCCTAATGTTCTTTTTCCAATGCATATTATTTCAAGATATAACTTATTTTTGTTACTGAAACTTTTTTTACTCATAAAGGAACGTTTAAAGAGAATTCGAAGAAGAAAATTTGACATTGTAGATTTTATTTGAATATACAGGGTGTCCCAAACATGTTAGAGGTCCTTGAAAAGGGTGGTTCGGGAGGTGATCTAAACTTCTCAGTTTCGCAACTGGAATAGGCTCTGTAGCTCTGTAGTAATTTTTCTAAATGTTGTTTTATTTTTAGTATTTTTAGTGAATCTGATTATTTTTGGTATGCATTGCAGTTGTTTATTAACTCGCATATATTGTACTCGCATGTATTGTTAATTAATATTGATTACATCTAGGCAAATTCATTTAATAATGCTAATTGCTGTAGAAGTTGAATATTAAGAAATACAACTATTTATAAGAACATCATTATCTTTTTTTCTACAGATGTTTGAACTAACCTCAGACACTATTTCTATGGACCCAGGGGTAAAACAATATGCAAGAATATAAAAAAGATTGAAATTAAAGTTCACGTTATAATATCTGCAGATTAAAATAAATTCTTATTTAGGTTGAATATTTGTAGGCACGTTGAAAGTTTCGGTAATATTTAAACGTGTTTCGAAGGATCTTTATGAATTGTGATAATTAATATTGGAATATCTCTACTATTTTTCGAAGCTTTCAACCATGAAGAAACACGTTAGTAATAAATAAATTGCGAATCTTTATGCATTTATAGGACATTTGAATGTGCGAGAAACTACAAAATGTAAACAATATAGAAGAGAATATAAAAGCAAGGATATAAAAAAGATTGAAAGTAAAGTTCACGTTAAAATATTTTCAGATTAAAATAAATTCTTATTTAGGTTCAATATTTTTAGGCAGGTTTGCGAAGACTATATTTTGCATAAAGATCCGCAGTCTAGGAATAAAGAACAGAAACGTGCAAGAAGGATATGTTTATCGCTATAATTCGATATTTAAAATTATTCACTATATCATAATGATACTATATTTCAAACATGTATAAGAGATTGTACCAACCTATGCAAATCTCACAATAATTTCAATATCACTAAAGACTTCAACAAATCCACAAACTTGCTCCAAAAATTCTTCGATTTCACATGGAATTACCTTGTAACACTTGCTATTTAAATAACATTCCTAATCATTCTTAATCGGACATTTGGATGACATTCCAGGTTTCAGCTGTGAACGCAAACCTTTCGACGCCGGGCAACGCGTCACGTGTGCCAATTTTTCTCATTGAATTCAAACCAGAGGCACCTCACCTCTTCACCGTCGAAAATCTCGATAAAGGTGTCGTCAACGTGAGTTGGTCTCATCCATGGCGAACAGGGGGTCGTCTGGAGAAATTTCTGATAATTTCGCAAATAATATCATCGGATCTCAGAATGGAAATTCAAGAGTCGAAGAGAACCATGATACACGAGCACCTGGTCAAGGAATATCAGTCTCGGTACAGCCAACAATTACACTTTCTGTCGTCGACCACTTACGTAGTTTCCATTCACGGCGTGACAATCACGGGAAAATCTGGCGTGAAAGACTTTGCGAAAGTGCGTACACCTTTGGCCACGGGATTCGAGACGGAATTAACGCCGGAAGTAAGGGACAAGGATTCGACGATCACGTTGCGCATTCCTACCGTGGTGAACGACACGAGGAACAGCCTGATGAACGTGATCGTGAAGGGGCCGCAACCCTGCGAGCGTTACGTGAAACTGAGCCCTTTACTTCGCGAGAAGACGGGCATCGATCATTACGAAACCGCGTGGCGAGCTGCCACGTTTTCCGTGAGTATCTCCTAATTTTCGAACGTACGGCATCGAGTATCGTGTTTCGATACGGATTTTAAGGGGACCTGTGTAACGTTTAATTTTCAAGGCAATTTTCAAGAACTTTTTTGTAGGAAAAGTACTAGTGCAATTATGATTATTTTTTTTTATTTGGTAGATCGACGCTTTGACATTAATTTTTGATTTTATCACAATGTTTCGATATGTGGATATTCCTAGACGATGCTTTAACGAGATCACTTAAAAGTAGAAGAGTCATTCAGCGAGAAGGATTTGATCGTACTTGATGATCTGGAACAAAAGCTTTTTATTAAGGAAGACATAAGTGAGGATGCCACGATTAGAAGTAGCTATCAGTACGAATGTATCGTTACAATCTTTGAGAATACAATTTTCAATCAAAAGTGCAATAAAGTGGTAAAAAGCGGAAGTAGGTCAAATGTCTTTTTAAGCTTGTAAGAGGCAACGAAGCCCTACCAGATGCAAGAAGATTCGTTTCGATCGATCAATTCGTTTCGAAATAAGAAGCAATACAAAATTTTTCGGTTTTTTGCGAAAAAAAAGGAACGGTTAAAAAATGATAAATCCCAAAATTGTTTGGTAATAGGACTACCCCGGAGATATGCTCTACAAAATGCAACAGGTTTCATCCCGATTGGTCAAGCCGTCTGGACGTAATCGAGTAACACTTAAAAAAAAAAAAGAAAAAAAAATACATGTCGAATTGAGTAATTTCCTCCTTTTCGAAGTCCTTTAAAAAGTAAAATATCACCTTCTTTATAATTACATTTTGAAGGTACTGGCGATAAGATATTCAAAAAGTTTTGAATATTGTTGATAGGGTGGCGTATAAACTAAAAAATGATACTTTAAGGTATCTTTTCCCCTATCTAATGGCTAACAGACGTTGGAAAACAATTTTTTTAACATGAATCTCGCCGCCAGTACCACCAATTACGTTTGAAAATTGTAGAAAAAAAATTTCATCCCGATTCATGTAATGGATTTTGCGCAATCCTGCTCGCCTTTTCCAAAAACGTGATTTCGAGGAAAACGCGTTTAAAGTTTCGTACGAAAGTAGTACGACGCTGAGCCGGGCACGTTTGGGGTTCGAAAAGTAACGAACTAAGCAGAATTTTATGAAATGCTTCTGTGACAGTCATTGTAATATCTCCTAGATGATAAATATGTAGAAAAGAAATTTTGATTATTTTGAAAATCTTACACAAGGTGGACCCCCTTAAATAATTTTCGATTCTATCGTAGATAATATTTTATCGCTACTGACAAGGGAAGCTTGGAAACTGATCCACTCCGATTTTGATGAACCTTTGCATAAATATTTGCATAAATATTTTATTATATACGAAACTTTGCATAAATATTCTATTATATACGAAACTTTGCATAAATATTCTATTATATACGAAACTTTGCATAAATATTTTATTATATACGATTTTATTATCTAAGAAGGCAAGTGTAATTCGTTCGTGCTAGTTTTTTACTTTGAGGGAGAAACTACTCCTTTTCTACCCCGTTTACTTATGCGTTTATAACTCGAAGATGACAAGGGATATCCAGAAAATGTTCAAATAAACATTGGACTGTTTTTAGAGACCTATGAACCAGTGTCAAATAATATTAAAAAAAAAATGAGTTTTTCAAAAATAGCTCTCCTTTTGCATGAAATTTTTAAAAATTTTGATTCATTTCCAGATTAATGAAAGCATTTATTTATTCTGAATCCAACGGTGCGTATTAGTTTATAATTATCATAATAGCAAATAATGTAATGTTGTAAAATTGTCGCTGTATTAGTCGTTATTGCAAATTCGTTAGTTTCAATACTTTGGTAGATATTTACAAACAATATACGAATATACTATACATATTTACATACACACACGCGCACACAAATAACCATACATGATTAAATTGATAATTGCGATTATTTACTTCGGACACTTATTTTAATTTTCCCTATTTCCGTTCTTAATAAAAGTATTTTAAACAAAATCTGTACATCTCGATAAGATATGAAATTGTTGTTAAATATATCGTTTTCGAAAGAAGAATATTTTCTGACGATCGCTTCTTTCGAACTATTTTTATTCTTTTTTCTCATAAATAATAACTCCCATTCAACAGACGGAGAAGTTTGCCGGCAAAACGTTCACGGTAGGGGATAACAAACTTTACGGCGATGCCACGAACTGTCCGCTAAAGCCTGACGAATCCTACGTGATAATGGTTATCGTGCAAACCGAAGAATCGATAGATGATCACATCATAGTCGTGAAGACGACATCGATTCGTGTCGGTGAGGTGCCAAGGCGACACGACGAAGCGTGGATCATTCCCATTATGATACTACTCGTCGTGGCAGTTGTGGCGTTTTACTTTTATCGAAGGTACAATCGATCTTTTTACTCTATTCAATAAAATTAACCCTTTGCACTCAATTCCTCTTTTCTGGTATCTATCAGCAACTCGAGATGTTTCTTAGCATTCTATTGCCATGAATTCTAAGCCATCTAGATTTGAGAATAAGATCATGTTTACCTCGCCAACAATCATTTTATTGACACTTCGATGTGCAAAGAAATTAAACCTAAAGAAACATTAGGTATTGTAAATATTAGGTACCGGAGAAACTTCGTGCGGATTTTCAGAGAAAAATACAAATACTCGAATCTGTTTTAAATCATAGGTTTATTCAACGAAATAATCACCATTTATCATCAATTTCATCAATGACTTCATCAATTTCTTTGCAATGAGTATCTGCAGTAATAGTCTGCCACGTGAAAGAAAATCAACGTGAACGATACCTCGTGTAGTCCACCAAACAGTGATCAGCACCTTCTTCGAACGGAGACTCGGTTTTTGTATGGTTTCTGTTGAACACGACCCCTTTTCAACCCAGTGATGTGATTGATCGTCGTACATTATCATATTCCACCCACTTTTCATCACAAGTTAAAATTCGATCGATAAATGGATATTGCAAATGCTCAGCAGGGAGTATTAGTTCTCTTCCGTTAAACAGTGCGGTATCCATTTGCCCAATCTTTTGTAAAAATTAAGTAAATGAATTCGCTTTCTTGCGGTAGATTCTTCGCATTCGAATACTTGAGCAAGCTCAGAACATCTTTTTCTTGGATTTGAACTTGCGTACGCGATGAATTTTTCGTCTTCGATGACAGATGGACGCCCTGAACGCGGTTCGTCATTTACCGATTCATTTCCTTCTTTGAACCTTTTAAACCATTTCTGTGCGGTTCTTTCACTAACAAGCACCTTCCCCACAAACGCTACAAATGCGTCTTGATGCATTTGCTGCTGTACTGCCAAGTTTAAATTCGTAAAGACTGAAAGCACGAATTTTTACTCTTTCGCTGTCCGTGTTTACTGTTCCTATAGCTACGCAACAACGAAACAATTGAACTCCACAGAGCATGCATACCAATTACAAAGATCAAGCTTTAAAATGAAACCAAACTCATGTCTTACAGTTGCCAATTACCACATGAAAATCGATATATACAGTTATATATGTAGTTACAATTAACGAATAAACTGCACGAACTTTTATAGTTTAATAGTCTAATATTCTAATAATTCTAAGTCTAATAGTCTAATTTGTTTTCCTCCATCTGACACACCTGCGCAGGAAGAAGAGAGGCCCATCGAAAGTATTTATTCATCACGAAGAAATGTCTTTGGCGCGCAAAACCGAAAACCTGGAGGATAAATCGATTCTGACAAATTCATCGCACCCACCAAAATCTGTCACGCCCACTCCATCCAATAAAGAATGCTTATCGCGTACGAGCACACCCGATGATGACCGTTCGATCCTTGTGAACGATGTCAATCAAAACGAAGAAGTCGCTTCTATGGTGAAAGTTAAGGACTTCGAGGACTACGTGAAGCAAGCAATTGATTCTGGACTCTTGGACACGCAGTACAATGTAAGTCATCCGATACTCTAAACGGGTTGTGGTATAAAAAAATTCTAGATTTAATTTTCATAACATATAATATAATATATAATATTATAATATATATATTATTTATAATAATATATAATAATATGTATATATTATATATTATATAATATTTTATGAAAATTAAATCTAGAATTTTATACATATGTATACATATATATTTTATATATATATATAAAATATATATTATTATTATATATTAAATATATATATATAATATTATATATTATATTACATTTTATGAAAATTAAATCTAGAATTTTATACATATGTATACATATATATTTTATATATATATGTATATAAATAAACTGCAGGAACTTTTTCCGGTACCTAATAGTTTGTTTTCCTCCACCTACCTATATATATACATAATTGTTTGAAAATAGAAATTTATCAAAAATTTGTTTGAATTTAATGTAAAAAGGAAACGACATTACTTTCCAGTCTACCTAATATAATAATAGAATATAATTTTCATAGAATAGAGATGTATAAATAGAGTATATTGCATTGATTACGTTGCAATATACAGGGTGTTCTAGAATTAGTGTAAGAACCGGGAATGGCGAATACCTGAGACGATTATGAACCAGAATTTCCTTTGCAAAAATGTCGGATGGTGCTTTGTTTCTTAATTATCAGCGATGCAGTGTACGGCATTTTAGCAAAGGAAATTGCGGTTTATAATCGTCTCAGCTACCTTCCATTTCCGGTTCTCACACTAATTCTGGGACACCCTATATGTATAAAATTGCCAATTGCATGGATCCAGAAAAATGAAAATGCTGTGTTTATGAAAACTGCCGTATCAAACAATTTACTCTATGCTTAAAAATTTTACCAATTTTTATTTTGCATTAATTGTTTAAATTTCCCTATTAATGTTTCTCGATTAAAAAATGTTCCGTTGCATGGAAAGAACCTCAGATAGGGAAAATGGTTATAATGTATTGCAGGAAGAATTCATGAAACCGTTTCTCAATTAGATTCTTCACGTCATGAAAATGACTCTTCTTTGTAATTTTAGATTGTTGATAGACTCTTCGCTATAATTTACCAAATAGCATGTGACTCCTATGAAGAAATCACACGCTTAATTAACCTGTTAGAACAGAAATTAAACGAATGCCATTTAACAGATTAATGGATTAATTGCAGACCATAACTTTAGTCTCTGAATAACACCACTAACTGGTATTCGCTTAATTACTGTCTCTCAGGTTAATCAAACATGTGACTTCTATACAGGGTGATTCTAAAAACTGGGACAAACCGTAACTCCATCTTCAGCGGAGATACAAAAAGAGTTATTAAAGAAGTTATTAAAGAAAAAATCGAAACCCTAATATTAGGCCATCTTTTGATGGTATAGTTCTTTTATTTGGTACAATGGTACAAGTGTAAAATGCATTTGCACATTTTTTTCTGTTAATGTTACTACATATAGTTTTACTTATTCCACCTTGCCATTTTGCATACGTCGAGTGTTATAGTGTGACAGTTGAAAAATTGATACTTTACGAAATATTTTATATTTTATCTGTTAGAATATTATTTTATCCTAGCAGTTATTCGAACACTCCACCGTGGACGTTCAAACATTATTTTTAATCGTTTGTTTACATGTTGTATTACGTTTTGAAGTTGTGTAGTAATAACAAACGTATTAGGTTGTCCCAAAAGTTTCTTTCGTTTGATTAATAATTAATTCATACACAATATTTTATGTTTTATGTTACATTACAAAATTGTGTACAATTCATTTCGCTTCATTACTGTTACAGCATCAATGTCTAAGAAATTAGATTGTCTATTTATATAAACACTGCCACAGAAAATAATTGAATGCAACTCACGAAAGAAACTTTTCGGACAACCTAATACATGTAGTGTTGGGTTAATGGGTTAAAGCGAACATATATTGCGAAACATCCTGTATAAAACCCCAAGTCCCGGGCCTTAAAAACTTTTATCCACACCTGTCTAATACAATTTCGAAAAAAAAGCAAAAATGATTTCATGATTGTACAAATTATTTGATAGACACTCACAAGAGGCCAAACGAAATCGTGGGAATACGGGAAGCTTCCGCAGAACAAACCGAAGAATCGATACGGAAATCTCATAGCGTGTGCGTAAAATTTCTCTTTTATAATTTACGACTGTTAACCCTTTGACTGCGGGACAACTTTAGCTGGAAATTCTAAGAGACGTAGAGGCTTGAATCTTACAAAGGCAGAACCTTTTCATATTCACAGTTTATTCATAGGGCGTTCAGTTTCAAAAATAAAAATTAAAAACTTGAAAAACCCTTTTCCTGTTTTTGTCATAATGAAAAAAAAAAAACAACAGTCGAACAATCGAGTTAAAAAAAAATATCACCTTATAGAGAATAAAAAAACGAAACTTTCTTTATAGGTACAGTTTATTCATACGACGGTCAGTTTTAGAGATAAAAATTGAAAACTTAGAAGACCTTTTTCATGAAATTCAATTTTTGCAACGAACTCCTATCTTCTCAATTTTTACTTTCGAAACTAAGCGTTCTATGGATAAACTATAAATATAAAAAAGTTTCGTCTCATGATCCCCTATAAGCTGATATTTTGTTTAAGTTGATTCAACGATTGTAATTGTCTTCCAATTGACGAAGTACGAAATACTTTGCAGACGACGAGAACCGCGTGATATTGAATAAGCTTTCGGACGATCCTCACTCGGATTACATCAACGCTAATTACATCAAGGTACTTAGACTCGATCCCACGATAAACAATTTTATACTAACTAAATGAATCCGGTATGATAAATTTGACGAATTTTGTAAAAGGGTTACAAAAAGGAAAAGTGTTACATAGCTACCCAAGGTCCAAAGGCGACCACGGTCATCGACTTCTGGAGAATGATCTGGCAAGAAGAAACCCTCATAATTTGTATGGTCGCGAATACAGTCGAGAACGGAAAGGTTTGTTCACCCTAGACGTTAAAAAAAATGCTAATGAGCAGGTAATAATCGACGACGAAATTTTCATAGGCGAAATGCGAACAGTACTGGCCCGACATTCTGAAAAAGAAGAAATACGGCGATCTACTTGTCTTCAACGCTAAACACACCGTGTTCGCGGATTATACATTTCGTACTTTTCACGTGACCTGCGGAAATGATACTCGCAAGGTAATACTGACGACGGTTTTTTCAATCAGTATAATAAAGCAGTGTTTCTGAAACTTTACCTGCCAGCGAAACTCTCGGTAGAAAGAAACTTTTAACTTATCCCTTAAAGTGGAATTATATTGTTATGTTGTTGGTGCATTTTGAAACTACTTTTTAAACGGGATGTATATGTTACAGTGAACGTAATAAACTGGGGATTAAAGTTGGTAAATGTGGGGATTATGCATAATCACCGTATTTATCACACTCACCGTAACATATATACGTGCGTTTCCAAAATTTTATTTCAATTTTAATGATTTTATATTTCTCAATTTAAACATTATATACGTTGATTGATATAGTATATATACAGTATAAATAATTATGAACAATAATTAAAGTTCTCGTTCGAGTCTTTTTGAAACTTTTTAATAACATTTAACGATAAATTAATTTCGTGCATTATATAACATTAGAAAATTCTATCTCATTACTTAGCGTCCAAATAAAATTGTTTCATTCCAATAAGAAATCCCAATAATGTTTACAAATTTGTATTTTATCTTTATAGTAAGCAGAATGACCTAACGAATAAGACATTTAAATTCTTTCAAACTGTTAAGCTTTTTCATTTCCAATCTCTTTTTTTGATTCCATCGCTATCGACGATAGAAAACACTTTAATTTAACAGACGTCTGGAATAGAAATAAAATTATACGAAAAGCGTCTTTTTTATTTCGCTGTATGAGAAATGTGCTTCTTGTCTTCCGAGAACTTTCGTAGACCCTTTTTTTTTTAGAAACCCTGCCACGAAAGTGCCTATTTTGTCTAATTTAAGAAATGGTTGGAATGGTGTTTCGAAATCTAGATCGAGCACCTACATTATACAGCATGGCCGGATCACGGTGTGCCGTTGTCCACGCATTCTGTGGTAACGTATTTAAAGAAGCTTTTGGCAACGTCACCCGGAAATGGACCTGTGGTGGTCCATTGTAGCGCAGGCGTCGGGAGAACTGGAACCATAATTTTATGCGACATTTGTCTTCGACGAGCCGCTGCGGAAGGGGTAAAACATTTTAACAAACAACAATTTGATTTCTTGAATAGTCACCTGACATAGGAAAAGTATTAAACACTGATATGTTAATCCGAGCATGTGATTCGTTTTCGTTCTTAAAAATGGTCGATAGCTTTTTTGTGTATCTTCATAAAACGTAAATAATCTATTCTAAAACTTAATATGGTAAAATCTAAAAGCTTTTTTTAAGGAAAACGTAAGTGAGGATGCCGCGATCAGAAGTAGCTACCAGTACGAACGTTTCGTTACAACCTTTGAGAATACAATTTTCGATAAAAAGTGCAATAAAGTGGTAAAAAACGGAAGTAGGTCAAATGTCTTTTTAAGCTTTTAAGAGGCAACGAAGCCCTACCAGATGCAAGAAGGTTCAATCCGATTGGTCAATTCGTTTCGGAATAAGAAGCAATACAAAAATTTTGCAGTTTTTTGCAAAAAAAAAACAGATAAAAAATGAGAAATCCCACAATGTTTTGATAATGGGACCACCCCGGAGATATGCTCTACAAGATGCAACAGGTTTCATCCCGATTAGTCAAGCCGTCGATTAGTCAAACCAAGAATGTTTTTATATATATACTTATATATACTTTTATATATATACTTTTCGTATATATATATTAGGTTGTCCCAAAAGTTTCTTTCGCTTTATTAATAAGTAATACATGCACAATAGTTTATGTTTTATGTTACATTACTGAATTGTGCACGATTTATTTTGCTCCGTTACTGTTACAACATGAATATGTATGAAATTAGACTGTCTATTTATATAAACACGATCATATAAAGAAACTTTCGGGACAACCTAATACCTGTCGAATTGAGTAATCTTTTTCTTCTCGAAGTCGGTTAAAAACGAACAACACGCTCGGGTTGATACGTTGCCGTTTACTATATTTTTAAAAAATATTCCCAAGCCCTCTAAAGAACAATGCAATGTTTCTATTTTTCAAATACTTCCAGGTAGTCGATGTATACGCCGAAACCATGTCGATCAGAAGTCAAAGAGCCAACATGGTCGACACGAAGCAACAGTACCTCTTGGCTCATTTAACCCTCTTAGAATGTTTACTTTCAATTCCAACGTCGTTGCCTTGCGACGAGATTCTCCCATTAAAAATTATGGAGCTTAAAAAACAATTGGTGATTCAGCAGCATAGGTAATCGCCCTATTTTCTTATCGACGATCAGTTCGAGCACCGAACGACTTAAAAGGATATGAAATTTACAGTCTGAAAAAGACATCTTGGCAAGACGAAGCCCTTCGGCCACCGACCAGTCAATTGTCACTGTCGGAACGCAACCTTGCCAAAAACAGATTCCCAGAATTAGCTTCAGGTTCAAAATTATCTTTCTGCGCTTCCCTATCGACCCTCTTTGACGCTTAGTTGCAATAATGCAACGATTTCCTTTGCAGCGAAAGTCGGCAGAGTGTACTTGAAGAGATATCCACCGACCGATGAGGACAGCGATTACATTTCCGCTATTTACGTGGACGGTGTAAGATTGCAGAATCAGTACCTGGCTACGCAGTTACCGTTGCCGGGGACGTTCAGCGATTTCTGGAGAATGGTGGCCGAATACAAAGTGGAGTTGATCGTTATGCTACAACCACCTGATCCGAACGATACGGTTTGTACCTTATCACTAGACAGCGGATCTTTATGCAAAATAAAATTTTTGCAAATGTACCTAGAAACATCGAACCTATATAGAAATTTATGTTATTCTGCGAATATTATAACGTGAACTTCACTTTCAATCTTTTTTATATCTTTGCTTTTATATTCTCTTCTATATTGTTTACATTTTGTAGTTTCTTGCACATCCAAATGTCCTATAAATACATAAAGATCCGCAGTCTATTTATTATTAACGTGTTTC